ACTTCGAACATGCAGTGTAACCCGCGTGGTCGCACATTTTCGACGGACATCTCACTTCCGACACGTTTACGGCTCGCGCGACGCATGTTTTCGTTGCGGAACATTTTCAAACTGGCTCTGAGAAATTCAGATCGATTTTATTGAAATGCTGACCACTATTTATGCATGGAATTATAACAGTATTTTGAATCACCGCACTTATATCGAATAGTCAGAAATTTGCATTCGTATATTCACACGGGGAAGTCACATAAAGTAAATTCTCTGATGCTTTTACATTTGCGAAAGTGTTAAAACCTTTTTTTATGCAGCTCGGATAGGAGTTACAGTTAAATGTTACTCACTTCTCACGGGTTCGAAAACTCTAATCAAATTATCTAATGATAGCATTCGGTAGGAGAAGCGTCGAACATTTGGCAAGTAATTTTTTAGAACGATCTCTCGGTTTGCCAAATTTTTACCATTTGACGGATTCAAAATTTCTGCTCTTTGCAAAATTCTTCTTTGGATGTAATGTAGAGATTAGCCTATGTTCCAGGAGTTTGGCATCTTGCAAATAATGAGTAAAGGTAGATGAGTCATCACTGTGTATACCGAACAAATTTTTTTAAAGAATAGAGTTATAAGTCTTCAATCATCTTGGATTCTCCATTTTTCTAAAGCCCGCGTAGAAATTTACACATGCAAATCGTTGTTTTGGAAGGTTTGGAGTTCCATTTTGCGGTCTTTGTCCATAACTTCGTGCTGATCCATCCCTTCTCACTTCTTGAAAAAACCTCAAAAAACCTTTTCCATCGGTTGATTTTGAATAAGAGCACAACCATCGACTCTGGTAGCGTTTTTTACGAGTTCATCTATTGTCGTGCCTGTATTGCATATTGGCCAGAAACCGGTTTCTGGCAGGTGACACTCGCCACCCGGGGAAAAGCGCATACTCGTCAGTGCGGATCAGACCTCGTTATGTTTCCATTCCTTCTTTCACAAGGTCATTTCTATCTCGACATATCGGATTTTGTTCGTTTAATCTTGATCAATGTGGTTTACTGCCAAGTTAATCGTTTTTGTATGCGTCTCAATTCTGTGGTAAATTTAGTACATCTGGTCTTAGGGGCTGGGGATCAGCCTTGTAAAAATAGGGATTTGAAACAACAAAATCTTTCATTTCTCCAATCGCAGCTGGTTTTTCACTTGTTGGAAATCGGCTAGATGTGTTTTGGGTCAGTTTTTATGCATTTTTAAGGTAGCTTCGATTTTCATTAATCTGCTTGGTTTTCTATTTCTTCAGGTGTTTTCGTCCTCTTTCTTGCGCTGCTGTACTTATGACTCATAATCTGAAGAAGTGCAGTAAAGGTGCAATTTTGCAAGTCAACGGTTTCAAATAACTATTCCTTTCCTCAGTGCAGTTTCCAGCGATTTCGATTGATTGCAGAGTTTGCCCTTCCATGGAATTAGGAGTTTCTTGTTCACTCAGACTGTGAGGAATTTGTGATTCGAAATTATTTTGGGGCTTGGGAACTACAGTAGGATTATTATGAAGTTTTTGACCTCCGTCTTTTCCGAACATAAGCTGCTTGTCTAAGGGTATGAAGGCATCGATAGGATTCTTGTTAGTTAGGGCATCCAAGCAATCAAGTTTAATTCTTTTCAAAGTTTTTCGCACTTCAGTGAGAGGGCCGAGCATGCTTACTGACTGAGACAACAATCCCAATCCAGGCACAAACATCCTTCCTACTTGCATCTCCAAATTCCCGAGTGATTGACATTTCGCTACAAAATTGTAGCCCGTTGCTCTTGTATTCGGTTTCGCTCTGGATACGTCGAGGTCGAGCGAGCGTTTAAACATCTGCGGAGCTTTTTTCGGTTCTTTGTACCATTCGCTGTCTGCACTCAGCACTAACAGCGAGGTTTCGCATTCTTTAGTCAACAAAACATTTTTTGTTGTAATCCACCTTGTTCGAGTCGTCTGTCAACTTTTACGTCCCGTGCTCAAATGGCGTGTATTAACCACACTTTTTAAGGTCATTCTGGTACACGTTCTCTTCTCACTCATAAATACAACACTCTCCTTTTGACATTTGCTTTCTTAGCGGGTATGTCTCGATTCACTGATCCTCTTGGCAAAACTCACACAACACATTTCGCTACATTTGAGCATCCTCACCTTTTTGCACGATTCAAAGCATAGAAATCTTCACGATAATCAAAGTTTTGCTGCAAATGTCATCTTGTTCCAAAATTTACCGTAAAGACCTTGTAATAAGCTTTATCTCATTCCCATGTTTCTTTCAGGTTCATCTGGTAATTATTCTTATTTTTGTGTCATTAGTTTTTGTGACAGCATCAATCAGAAGCGTCTCATCAGAGTGCTAAAAAAATCCTTTCTTGTTATGAAGTCTACGCTGAATCAGAAATCCTTATTATGCACTCAGAAGCTCTCTATATTTCGACATATCTCCAGGATTCCCTGTAGCTCATCGCTGAAGTTTAGTTATTTTTTGGCAACACTCACTTCGGCTAGTGAAACCATACTTTTTTCCTATGGTTTCTAACCAGTAGCCAATTTCGCTAAACGAAAGGATGTGACAATAAAAAGCTGCATCTATTCGTGAAAGAAGAAAAAGACGTTTTTAGAAGATGTTGATTATTATAAACACCACAAAGAGCATGACAAGCACGTGCTTCCGCTTTGAACAGTGTAGAATGCAAAATGGTTTGATCAGCAGCAGATTTGACTACATTTAAGCCATAAAGTTCGCTCCAGCATTTACTGACTGTTGGCTTTTTCTGAATAAGAAAGTGTGGGAGTGTTTGCATATTGCAAGTTTCTGCGGAGCTCAAAATTTGGGTCTTGTATTCAAGTCAAACTATGATCTTTTTCGTTCTTCCTTTTTTCTTCGGGTTTTCAAAAAATTTTCGATCAATGTGAAAAAAAAAACTTTCTCATCTAGTCTGTCCAATCTATCTATCTAACGTATAAAGAATCGTTAGCTCAGTTCAAAAATTTTCCAATAGCCGGAAATAGCGGTGCGGTCCCGAAGCCGTGGATGCAGTCTAGCACCTTTAATTACTAGTTCACTAGTCTAGTAAATCATTTTGAGATCTGTATTAGGCCAAGCTGGATCTGAACTCGTAATTTCGCATGTTCGATATTAACTTGTCTACAATCTCTCCAAACACTTACATATGGGTTTTTTTTTGCAAATTGTAAGGCGAGTATTCATTGTGTAAAGCGAGTAAGTGCTCTGCAGGTTGTAAACGTCTTAGTGTTCTTCTCATGTTTTTCGTCTAACAATTTTATGTAGCAAATTTGTGCTTCACAGCAGTACTTTTCTGCTTGGCGGTTCTTTGTTGCGGCCATCTGCTCTGCTGTGAATGTCAGATGCGCCTTCTTATCTCTTCACTGAGCTAAACATCACATGGCCATCATGCCCCAAACATAATGCTTCCGTCTCAGTTACATCTTTCATTCTTAGCTTTCTCAAGTAGTTGAAACTACTATCATGTGATAGTTCGCTGGAATCTTCCATAGTTCTTAATATATTTCCTAACATAGCAGAAACTCCGCAAAAATTTCCATATTTTATGCCTTTTTACTTTTTTTCACTATCCGTTCAATGGAAGTTGTTCTCTAAATGGCTCGATCGTTTTGGATTTAACGACGCTTCACTGTGCCCATTGCGACATTTTGTATCGTTCCATCGATTGAAATCACCATGCAGAAACTTTCTATCAAACACAAGATTTATATTAATGCTATATCAAAGATTAGCTGGGTGTTAAGTGTCCGGCTAGCATTAGAATATGAATCGTATAAAGTAGGGAAAGGTTTGGCATGATATGTCTCAAAAACTTTGATCTTTTCGAAAGGTCAGTCCGCTTTTGTTTCTTGATTATGCTAACGATCTTCTGAACTGAGGTTGGTAAGACAACAACGTATCTCCTGCTTTCAATCAATCCTATATACTCCATTTGTTCCACAACTTGTTCTGTCTGACATAGGTTTTACCTCAGACTCGCGATATAGGCGATATTATGCCCCTCGAATTATTTAGTCATGTTTTCAGCTTCAAGAGTACCTCCAATATTCAAACAACGGTTTTGAAATTTTCGCCATGTCTGTTGTTTGAAATAACTTGTTTGGTGTGAATGCTAGCCATCATGGTCTTTTTTTTGATTTTTTTGCTCATGTGCGTGCGCTGTTTCACAGTGACGCTATTCATACTTGCATTTTATTCCCTCGTGACATTCTTTCCACTCCAGGTCCTTGCACTGCAATTTGTTAAATTTTCCTTTACTCATTGGAACATAATTTAGGTGCTGAATTTATAACAGTACAGTAGGGAGTTACAATTTCTTTCAAAGCTCAACGACATCTCAGGTAGAATCATTGCGCGTCTTCATATCAAGAAATTCTCGTCAAATATAGGCAAACCTTTCCCTGTTCAAAACGTTCGAGAACACATAGAGGCCAACCAAACTCAAACACTTCTTCCTCGTTACATGCGAAAGTACAGACTCGCGTCAGTTTACAGCGTGGTAGCCAGACTAGACTGACGGAATCGAACATTGGAACAACCAAAACGTTGTTATTTTCTGGTAACAACATGTGGTGAATCCATCTTGCTCAGATTTTTCTTTTCTCTCATGTTTTTACTCTTTATTGCCTATCTGCGGTTCATATCATTATTTTTCATAGTATATCATTCCATCGTTCATACTAAGATATACATTAAGTTCATTTTATTCGTATACTTTATCTTCGTCTGTTCTTGCTCATAATCTGCTATATTTTTCCAACATCGCGGTGTTATTGTTTGCATGTGACATCGTTGTCGCAAAAACTTGTACTGCATTTCGTATTCACCAAAAACTAATTGATGCAAAAATTAATTGGTCCGGATGCGTCGAGTATTTTTCGAAAATGTCAAAATGCAATAGAAGGAAGTGCACTACGACTTTTTCATTCATATGCTAGCTTTTTATTGCAGTTCGTAGCCTTCTTAATTCAAGCGTTTCTCCTCTTTCATTTTCGCCTTCACCACTTTCTCGTTTCCACCAATCTCGTGCCAAAAATTTAGCTGAAATTTTCCGATATTTTGTGCAGTTGCCAGTCGTCATATCACATCATTTCTAAGTTTACCCGGGATAAATTAAGCAAACAATTGAGAAGGTAAAGGAGAGCTAAACCTAGACGAGGGTGAAGTGTGTCTTTATTGTGTGGTCGGAGACGGGATGCAATCGATTTTCCCCCGCCGACTGAGGGGGGTTACGCAACAAAACCACCCTCTCTCGGCTGTCCTTTAGCATTGTTACCGGAATAAAATTCTTTTTCATGAAACATCTCAATTGTCGACGTCATTTCAATCTTTTATCGAGCATTTGTACTTTTTCCGCATTTTTGAAGAGCCTTGCTGTTGTTTTTGGAGAAATCGTTCGCTGCTGCAGACTTTTGCACTCTGAATTTACTATCATTTTTGCTCTCTGTTGCCTAATTGTTGCTCCCACTGGACTTCCACTTCGAATTTTTTTTTGCCTTTACATTTCCTGCCGCCTTTTTCCGGATGCCATTAAACTTTGCGCTATTTATTGCTCGTATTGTATTCTAATTATGTATATCCCGTTGATTTTTATATTATAAAAGACCAGCTCTCTCTTTCCTTCTCTGCAGCATTTCCAAGTGGTTATGTGTTCCTACTAGTTACCCGATATTAATTCCTTAATTCTCGGCAATCCTCAGACGTATTCTGTTCCAGCACATTCTTTTTTCTGCACTACACTTCGACTATAAGGTGCTTATCTCTTGCGAAATCCTAAGCTTCTTTCGTAATCATTGCGTCCAAATTCTTTGACATGTGTACTTACGTAGTTTGCGAAAGTACTCGCACTTATATATGTTTGCTGGAGTGGGAGTGATATGATATCATGCTTGCTGTGACTCCACTGTCTTGAGCTTTAGAGTGATACAAAATATTCTCTGTTTGCTCTTTTCTATGATAAACCAGATGATAAACCTAGTTTTTGATAGACATATTTGTAGATCTGTATGTAGTATATGCATACCCAGCGATAAAAGATTTGAACATGCTTTTGCGAACAACATGTTTTTCACACATAATTCGAAGAACTCCCACTTATTTTCGTGCCTTAATTCACATAGCATTCAAAGTGCTGAGTTTTATTTTGGAGCCGACATACCTTTATGATCAGTTTGCATATATGTTAATAATAAACAAATCGCCCGCTATTTAATTATAGTTCGAAGCTTGATATGTGCGACTGCTACATATTAATATCTCTAACCTTCACCAAGTAACATACGAAAACCTTTGTTTAGTTTTCAATTTCAAGGTCAGCATAAGGTAAGCACAAACGAAACTTCCGTGATGTGCTGCTTTCGAAGAATGTACTAGTGTTCATAGTTAGTCTTTAAGTTGTAAGCAAAATCTTTTTGGGGTGGGTGATAATTTTAATAGAAGGGCAGAAATACCTCAAATCAAGAGACATAAAGAACGCAGTGAATGGAATCAAAGAACTTTTGAAAATACCTGGAAATGGTGGCTACAATTTTGAACAAAAACCATTGGAACTTCTGTTAAATGATTTTTTATATCTACTCCATCTGCTTTACAAAGAATGAAAATCATTTTGGATTGTTGCCAGAGGAGCAGCACTCGTGATGTGCAACGCGCTGTCCGCAATCACGCCTATCAAGCATATCAAATGACTCGTCTATGCGCTTATACTTTTTGCATACTCAAATGGGATCTTACTATGCCTTCTGGCTGTGTTGGCTGAAGAGCAAATTTTCTTCTTTCGAGATCAGTGCCCAATTATTTCATGCTTTGTCCATTTTCTTCTAGCCAATCCTTCCGCGGCAGCTCCTGAAATCTGAGGCGAATTGACAGTGCGCCATTGCGTCTTAACGAATGATAAATTGGCATCTTTTACGCATTTCACATCCCAATGCGCAGATGGGCTGTCGGGCTGCTGCTGCTGATGCGGCAAACGGCTGCGTTTAATTGTCGCGTCTGCGAGCGGTCGCCGATCAACTGACAGTTTGCAAATGACGGCCGGCGACCGGCCGGCCGACGGGCACGTGCCGCTGCGCCGTTCTCGTCGTTCGTTCATCCTCGTCGCCCTTGTTGTTTGTGGAATCAGAAGGCCTCACTCGTTGCACTATCCGCGGCTGCAGTGTCTGTCTGTCACTGCTGAATTCAATTTTGAAAAATTCGCCGCATACCTTGCATGCAACGCGTTTCGTGCCTCGCTCATCCCATATTCCATCGTATTTTTTTGATTTCTCTGCAAACCCTCTTCCATTGTTCTCGAATGTTCCTCGCAGATCCGTTCCTCACTCTTCAGCCTAATCGATTGATAGACTGCATTTTCCGCCACGAAAGTCCTCTCTCTCTCGCACGACTCGTTCTGAGGTCCGAAGCGAAGCGCGAGAGGTTGTACTTTTCGCATCGCACTCGCCGCCGCATACCATTTAGCGCTGCGACCATCCGCATAGACGAGATTCCTCCGTTCTGATCCATCAGCGGCTGCGAATTTTTCCTCTTTTTCCACCGGATTTGCTGATCTCTAAATCATTTCTTATTTCTGCCGCATTTTGCTAACGATTTCATATTTATGACTGCCATTTATCATCCGCTAAACTGTGCAGCGCCTGCTCTATTGTTCTGCAAATTTCCATCCAATTTTTACTTGAACTTTCTGATTTCTTACACCTGTTGCTTTGTTTCTGCTATCCATTCACCACATATCATCTTCTTTTGCTGAATTTTCCATGTAAAGTGGTAAAATTCGCGGAATAGATCAGCTTTGTAATTTTAGTTTGCTGAACTTCATCGAAGGTGTTTTTATTATACGTATCACAAGCACACTTCTGTTGTGCGGGATCAGGTTTATTTTCATGTTGTCATGGAAGTTCGAAACTTGTTATTCTTGGTGTGCTTAAAGAAAATGTGTTGTAAACTCCTTCCAATCCTCAATTTCTATGCCTAATATTACCAACGCATTCATCGTTTTCGATAGTTTCGCAAAGCATTCGCCGACATATAAGTAACTGAAGCATGTTTCTTTTAAAATTAAAAAAAAATTCATTAATGCATTGTGGTGTTCAAAAGATTTAGACACGACTGCCTATTTTTTTGAGTCTCATGATGCTCAAATGGGGTGGCACTCAAAAATTATTCGCTTTCATCCCAAGCACCATTTTGTAACATCGACTTCTCAAAGTTGTGCAACAAGGACGCAGTCGTGTATATTTAGAGAGCATTTCTGCAAAACCTTAGGATAAATTTTCAATCCTAAAATTTCTCAGAGCGCTTTCAAAAAATGTACAGCTCAAATTAATGCTGCAGTTAGCGCTGTGCTCTAAAACTGAGTGTATGAATTTGGGTTGCCAGGTAATGTGATATAGGCGCATGCTGGATGGAGTGGGTTAATGCTGGAGCGACAGCGATCATTTCGTACAATTCGAAGTTATCTACTATATATTTCTTATTGTACTGTTTCAAAGCTTTCTTCTCAGTAGTTAAATAACATGATTTCTGAATCCGAATTTTATTTGATCACGCTCAAATTCCGGGACAAAAGTTTCTGGTTGCTTTCAGAATAAGAATGGTGGTCACTTTGTTACACACTTCGTTTATGGGAGAAAACTCCTTCGATGTTGCATTCCTTCGATTTATCAGAGGTCATAATGTTTTTCTCATTGCTTCTCATTCCTCGAATAAAGTGTTTCCAGAAACTTTTTTGTTTAAAAATCACATACTCTATACATCAAAACGTCAAGCGGTTACCTTTTGATTTGCGAACAACTTTCGTTGATGATAACTCTTCTCTGCTCGAACGATGCCTTCTTATTTCCCTTGCTCTTTCTAGTTATGGGTGCCAAAAACAGCGTTTAGTATTTGACAAACAGATAAAAGGGAACGTCTTGTTGTTTCTTTCAATACCCTCTATTTTTACTTTGCTGTCCATATACTACATTCACAAAATTTTTCTTGCAAACGGACCCATTTCTATTTCTCCATTTCCAGATTCTATAGTTGTGCAGATTGCCTGTCACATTTTGTTTTCTCCTTAGGTTTGGATCCCTTTTTCTGCATCTCATTGTCAGTAATCTGGTTTGTCTTTTGCTCAAATTTGGTGAGATAGGCTTTGGTTCGAATGAATATCCTGCCTTTCATCGCTCTGCAACCAACTATAGTGGTTTTTAGTGTGTGCGACTGCATGCAAAGTGCGCATTCTCGTTAAATCCTGGGTTTGCTAGTACTGCGCACGTTTGGGATTTTCTGCACTATGTCTGGAAGAATGGTATCTACAGATGATGCTAAGAAAATATATGGTATTAGGTGGGGAATGGTAATCCGACGCCTATCGTGCATCTTGTGCAGTCGCGCAGATTGCGAGTTACCTTGTCAGTCATTTTTGAGGTACAGTCAAATTTTGCAACTTGCTACATGAGTCTGCACATTGTACTCGACAATCCACGACTCCTTTCTGACTGTCAGTGCTGAAACCATCTTGACCGAGCAGTATGTTGAAATATGTGCTACTACTTGTTCGATCAGTCTAAAAGGGAAAAACGAGGGAAATTTTTAAAAATTGGCGACTCTTAAACAAAAAGGTCGTGGAGTACCGCACGTTGTGTGCAATACACATAAAGTTGCAAATAGTTCACCTATGATCACTACGCAACGTGTGACTAACAAGTTGAAACTTGTGTCCTATCATGTTAGATGATTTACTGCTCGCAAAGAAGAGATTAACGAGTTTGGGCTTGTTAGATAAGTTGTGCGTGTGGTTTTCAGTTATAAAATTAGGGAATAGGATTTTGTTCCCAACATTTTTTTCCACCAGTACTTCCGCAGTGTCTTAGGTGGACTTTGGGCATCTCCAAGTTTCTGCGTGCCGTATCAGCAGCCGTACATGTGTCGTTCTGGGCTCGTGTGCTGCTGCCAACCTGCGCGTATCTCACGACGTCTCTGCGCGTCGCCGATTCGCACGCTCTTCTCTCCATCTCCGGCCGCTGTTTGCATTTCGCCTCGTTTCGTATTCAAAAGGCGGGATTGATTGATTCTTTGCCTGACTTTTCAGTGTCTGTACTATTCGAGGTCGCTTACAGCAGCAGCATCGCCAGGTCTTTCCCAGTTTTTATGTTTTCTCGCTCATTCTTTGCTGATTTTGTCTTTTGGTCCTTCAACCGGTTAATCCGCAAAAGGCGTGAGAATTGGGCGTTGCCGAAGTTTTTGGGTCACGGCTATGTGTCTTAGCGTGAATGAGCGAAACTTGATTTTCCATTTTTTCACGCTTATCCGCATGCTAGAGCGACGAAAATTTCTCGGATCTTTTGAAATTTCAGTCTAAACCGGCGGATTTTGCGGAGAAATCTAGTGATACTCAAGTTTTTACAGTCTGATCTGCAATTAAATGTTGTAGCTGGTTTTTGTTTGTTTTTGTTATTATTCGCTCTTTTGGTGCCTCTTTTTGTGATTGCTCCTTTTTTGCCATTTTTTTGTCCGCAGTATCTGAAACGCCATAATCTTAAAACTACAATCCGCTGTAGTTACGCCGCTGATTCGTTTGTACAATTTTTGGACTGGTGGGTTATTTTAATTTTATGGTAATCTTAAAAGCCGCTTTTATTGTTCTGAAGTTGTTATAGTTTCATTTGTGGAACAGTTTTGCCGAAGACTGACAAAAGTTCAGCGAGAGTATCATTATTTTATTCACATACTTAGCCAATATAAATCTTATGGCGCATGACCAGTATTACAGGATATATTTCATACCACTGACTTCGAGAGTGGGAAGTTTTGCAGGAGCTATCTCCTTGTACCTACTTAAAGGCAGTGTCTCACCAAAATTTAGTTGCCGAGATTTTTGCATTTTGCAAGCCTGTCGGACCCTGTCTAGCACTGTATGGGCTTAAAATCGCACGAAATTCCCAAAAACCCCGTTTTCTGGAGGCCCCGCGGAAGCAACGTGGACGAGTTGTACCTTCCAACTTCAGCCTCAGCCACAGTGGTAGCAGCAGAGGGGAGGTGGATGCCAAGTGGAGAGACATATTCAAACGCGTAAGGGGGAGACGGAAGGAGTCGTCCGCGCGTACCAAACGGCTCTCCGCGTACCACTTTGAGCGCATTTTTCTCAGCGTGGAGGGGGTCAAATTGGGTGGGACCTTTTGCGATGGCCTATTTAGAAGTCCCTGTAATAAAATATGTGAAGATCCGCGCGACCTCAACTTTGGCGAGACACTGCCTTTAAACTGTTGAGCACATTATTCTATAGCCCTTTTCGTATCCTTTGTCTGTGGGGTTTTCCTAGAGACAACGTGCTATCCAATATCCCCTTCTACCCCTCTCTCTTTTCACTTTTATCTTGTCTGTGTTCGCTTGTATACTCATTTGTTCTTTTTTTTTAACCTATCCTTGAGCATCATTAGTCAAGAGAGGTAATATATTCTGAAAGCAAATAAGTACTCCATGCGCGATACTGTTACAGAATCTGTATCCACTGTTTGGCGTCAGCAGCTACTTTAAAGGCATTGTTCATTTAAATAGTTGAGCTTCACGGCCTACTGAGAAGCTTTACCCAAAAGATTGAAAATGTTTCAAGAGATGAAAGCACTCCGGATACCACACAGTATGTTCAAAATATTGACCATCTACATGAGCTTCTGATGTATGCCACGTTTCGGTCTCATGATTCTGTAACAGAAAGAGGACTAGGTTCTGAAACGGACGGCAGAAGCATGAATGCATGTATATTGTTGAAAAATTGCAAAAGAATTCATTGTAGGGCAGTATATTCAGATCCTTGTGCCATTCCAAGGAATTTGTAGCTCGTAATTATCCTTATTATGCAGCCATAGAAGTATCTCTGCTTTGCAGACATTAGTATTCGTATCCATTCTCATGTAAAGCAATCGTACTATATTTATACATTCACAGCGTCCCAATGGAATTCCTGCGCTCCGATTGCCATTCTGGTTTTCACCGTCACATTTATGTTTCGCTGACTTTTGATGTCCCGAGCTCAGAGCGTCTGTTTGTTCTTTTCCGGGCCATATTTGAACAGGATTGCGCTCGTTGCGCCATAGGACATGCTGTTTTACAATTTCGGTAAACTCAATCTTTATGGTCTTATCAAACAGCGTCGCCTGGTCGGCTGCAAAGATTCTATAAGCGCGATAACTTGAATTCACCTTGGTTGTGCGAAATGTATAGAGTGGTACTCTCTGCTCCGATTACAGCTGTGCAAACAGTTGAAGTATGTCCTTATGACTACTACTGTGCAACACTTTCACGGGGGGGGGGGGGTATTTGGAAGGAATTTTTACATCTGCACGGACATCAGAGCATTGTTTGGTAGTTTATTGAAAAGTTTTGTCTTTTTTGATCCTAGACATTTATTTACATTCTATATTGTTTTGAAATTTTTCTACATAACGCATTACCAATTTCGTGAAATCCAGTCAGTTCAATATTGCGATGATTTTTTTCTGTCCTTCAGCATCAGTACAATCTCCCTCCAAATTCTCCTCATTGGTAGTTTTGCTGCGTTTTATGTATTTTTCTGTTTTTTTATCGATACTTCTACCTTCGCTCTTTTCCTTTGAAGCTGCTCATGCGACATTAAATTTTACTTTCATAGGAGAATCCAGAAATTTTCGTATGCGATTAGTATCATAGTTATCATCACCATTTCCCAAGGAACTTAGAGCTCGTTCTAGATCATTTTTAGGGAGAGACATACGTCTTTTTGATTAGATGTGAGTTTTCATACCAACCAATTTTACCTGTTTACTGAATGAAATATAATGGATAAAAGTGTTTTTGATGAATCCGTTTTTACGATGTGAAAAAGTGAAGATTGCTATTTATGAAAATCTATCCTTATGTGTTTTAATTGAAGTGGAAGTAGAGAACGGTCCAGAAAAACTCACGCGTTTATAGAAACTATCTTCTTGCGTTTTTTCTTCAAGCACTTTTATCTACCATTGCAATCTTTTCGAATGTTTCAACTGACTTTGTTAGTGTATGATCATGAAGCGGGTTGGAAGACAGAAGTTCTCAGGTTAGAACTCCCTTTTCTAGTCACCTTCCAAAATGGAGGTTTGCGATTGGGGGAGGCATTGGTATTGGGTCAGGCTCGTGTGCTATTCTTTCATTCTTGCAAAACCGTCGAATGTGCTGGCTATTACGTATCTAGCAGCAACTTCCAAATTCTGTAATCCACCCTTGTTGAAAAATACAGCCAGCTATACATCATATGTCTATCATTTACAAATATCTATGAATTTACGACATATTATATTCTCGTCAGCTTACTTGTTGAAGTTATCTGGATTTCCTACGACTTTCAAATTTCTGGTGCAAAATCCTCGACCTGAAAGTGTTACGAGACATTTTTCACACAATTGTGTTGGGCGATGGGCCCGTTTCTTTGATAAGGTGAGAATCGATAGCTTTTTCTTCACTAGCTTTCCGCGTTCACTCGAGGCGTTAAAGCTATCGCGTCACGGTACTTTTAGAGCGCTTTTCACTTGATATATACCGTTCGTATTATGCACTTTCTATGACGCTTTTACTTTTTGACGCAATTATTTATCCATCGTCAGTATTGTTTGATGAAGTTGTGATAGTTGATCTTTCATTGCTCTTTGAACCGCACTCCTTAGCAAGACAGCATTACTTTTTTATGGTTCTTGAACTTGAGAAAGTTGTAGTTTTTCCAGAATGTAATGCACACAAGATATAAATCTTTGGAGGGAATGTTAGAAATAGTATGGTCAAGTTCCTCAATCACTTTGCACTGAGAAATGATTTTAGATCTTGGTATCCGTGGTAGTGCACTGTAGCATCACCTTCCCTCTCATTGGCGTTATCAGTGGACATTTCCGAGCATGAAAGTGACACTTTTCCATGACCATTATATGATACCTATCTATTTAATGTTCACAGTCTCCCAAAATGTTACAATCTTTTGTTTTTGCGGTGCTGAAATTCTGTTGTAATTTCCCATATGTGCTTTTGAGAAACAGTTAGATAATTTCTTTTATCGAGAATGTGCTTCCACTCCTCGTAAAGTCTTGCTATATATGAATATTCATCCGAATTGACTTTTCGGCCCAAGAAGTTTATCTTTCACGTTCATTGGAGTCATTTTCATCCTCGTTTTTTCTGTCTCCTTTCGCGTGGGTGGTCATTAACTCCTGGAGCCATTTTCGTTGATGTATTGTATTGCAATAGACCAAATCTACTTTTATTGCTTGTTTGGCTCAACTCTTAATGAAGTTTGCTCCACTTTCTTGCACTCTTTTTTCCACAGAAGCATTTGATGGCGATGAAGTTGGACTTAACATCACACTTTTTTTTGTCCTGGGCTAGTCACCTCACCTAGCTCAATTCCGCACTCCTTTGATTGTTACTTCACCCCTAAAGATTATATTCTCTCAGCTTATCTTGCTCGTCCTCTTACTTGTGACCCATACGAAGAAGGAGAAGCTTATTTGGAGATTATCTTTCTTGTCTTTTTTCTAAGTCTGCTCTTTTGCATTACTCTTTTATGGCCTATATCGTGTCTTTGAAATTCTGGGTTTGTTTGTTCAGATTTGAATTTTAGTGCTTTTTTACATCCTGTACTTTTATGCGTTATCTTCTCATTGCTATAAGTTTATATCCTTTTCCATTGTTTTGAATTTCATGTGGGACAGGAAGTTTTTTTTTATATGCTCTGATCCGTCCGTTTTCATTTTTTCTCCTCTACAGTGAACAGTCTGCACGAGGTAATTTCAACTTTAGCTTAAACGCTTTTGCAGGGGTTGGGGTCTGGGCATGTAAATGTCCTAAATTTTTGGGAAGCTCCCCAATTTCCTCGCAAGCCTTCATTGCGGAATTTGGAAAAAAAATGTTGGCATAGCCGCACTAAACAAACTTTTTACAATGTTGATTAGAATTCTGGAAAGTTGGATTCTCTCTCTATCATATTAGGGTACCCCATGATATTTTAGGGTTTTTACTACAACCGTCGCCTTTTTGTTCCCTTCAACTAATGTGGTTTGAGTAATACTGGGCAGGGCGAAGCAAACTTTACAAGATGGCTATGAGTCCGCCCAAATTATATTTCACGTGGTCTTTAGCTGAAATCGGATAGTAGTCGAAACGCACTTTACCTTCAAAAATCGTATATCCACCCCAAAAAATCTTGAAAATTCCCATTTATCCTATACATATGCTTGACACATCGAATTTGATTGTACACGTTTTGTATTTTTTCCGTGCTAGGAGTAAGGAAATAAATAAATAGTAAAGTGACAAACTCCGCCTTTAGACGTCCTGACTTTTCCCACTCACATGATCAAATGGCTCACACATTTGGAAGTACAATCATGTATTAGAATGGGTCGCGAAATTTTGAAAGTTACTTACAGTTACGAGTTGTAAAAATGTGCAAAATCAAAATATTTCATTAAGTTTTTTGAAACTTAAATTGGCCATACAAAATAGATTTTTTCGAGGGAGTGGCTGGCGCCACGCCTTCTTTTGCTGAAATTTCAGGGTTAGGAGCCCGCAAAAATGTTGGGAAGCATACCAAAAAATTTTCGGGGTCGTGGCTAACGACACGCACCTTGATCAGGGAAGATTTTTTCGTTGTCTTCTCCCCCCCCCCCCCCCCCCGAACGGCAATCCTAGGTACGCCACTGATTTGTATTCTTTGTAGGTACCCCAGTTCCAAAAAATGCTGATGTTCAGGATAAAAAATCATGGGACCCTTTGATTTGCGTAGAAACAAATCACTTGCACAATTTTGTAACTTCTGTAGGCAGTTCATAACGGGAGAGTTGGAGCGGCTTCTCCCTCGTTCATTGCTGACTATTAATCCCACTCTGATGCTTGCAATTTTGATCGCTCATGCCATGAATTTTGGTCTATCAAAATTCCTGAACCCGATTCTTTTTCCAAACCTTTTTCGCTCACACTTCTGCAGATTTTTCTATGTGTTCCGCTCAAAATCACTTTTCTAACGCTACGGCTTGGAAATGTTTTTTCACATTGAAATACCCTGATTATCAGTTTACCTGTGTTTTCGCGCTCAAGCATTGCTCGCCTCTTTTCTTTTTCCTGTTCTTCGTCTGGTTTGAAACATTTTTTGCATGTTGCATCAAATTTTGGTAATTTACATGGTTTTGGCTTTTCATCCTATTCCTTGACTTAGTACGAATTGTGTTAAATTTGATTGTAGTGTTTTATGTTGCAATGAGTACCGCGGAAACCACCAAGATTTGTTCTTTTGATTCGTTTCTTTGGTTATTGCAGTGGTCTCCAGTTTTCTTTCCACAGTGTGAATTTTGTGCCGATCTTCATACATCATTTGGTATTATGGTTATGAGGACAGACTTCAAGAAAATCACCTTCGCCACCCATGATTTTGTGTGCCGTCGAAAATCACTTGCCACATTATTTGTGTTCTTTATGAAGGCTATGCCTATTTTCATCATTAGTCTGAGTGCTTTGAACAACGATAAGATTCAGAAAGAGTTTGAGTCCCAGTTAGCTTTGAGCTTCAGAGTGTTATTTTCATCTGCGTGTGCTGTTGTATGATTGCCTTTGCGTAAATATGTGTTATTTTCTTCTTATATTCTTATGCTTCTTATATTCGCAAAACCGTATTCGTTGATGTTGTAATATCTTAATAAATGCTAATTTGCAGAGTTTTGCTCACTGCACAAAAGAGCTCGTTTGTTCCTAGCGAGGACACCACTCTCGTTGACGATTGTGGAAGAAGCTTTGCAGAGGTAGGTATATATCAGAAGATATGCGAGTTTGCAGCAAGCTCTGTCGTCGATGAACCTCGCATAAGTATAGGAAATCTGCGATATTCTGACTACCATGTGATCAAACAAATCTAACAGTTGGGAACACAAAGAAGTTGTAGGAGCGGAGAAGGGGCAGGGGAGGGGGTGGGGTAATATGGTTGCAAGATTCTTGGAAGCTTCTCAAATCTTTTATTTTTTATGGAGCAAGATGATTTGTGAAAAGAATTTCATAGCTAAAATGGCGAACTGCAATTCTACTCTCATGTGAACTTGCAAGGTTTTTGCCTTTTACTTATGTTGTCTTTCGATGCTCTTTAGTTGAACATTCGATAGGCTGTCCAGTGAGCGGATTATTATTCAGCTTCTCATCTGTCTACGATTGCTGCATTGTCTAGAAATGGCTTTTGGATTCTGACAAGGAAGGGTTTCGGAGTCGAAGTGGCCGATCACTTCAGGAAGCATCAGAAAGAAGAAGCGCTGATTTAATCGGCCTCTTTTGTCTGAAGAACGCTTCTGAGAAGCAAGTTATGGATTTTTTGTCTGCGGGAAGTTCGTAAGGCTGAAAGTAGCCAGAGTGTTAACAACCAGGCATCTTGACTGAAACCTGCTCAGAACAGCTTATCCATGCTAAGTGTGGGGCTAGCCCTTTGAAGGTTGTAGTTCAAGAAGCAATTTTAACGGTTTTCGTTATTGTAGTCACTCAAAGCAGTTCAAGTTTCTGATAAATATCATAACTTCCTGCCCAAAAGGAAGTTCAAAATCATCTAAAATCAGCATACAAAGCTCTTTGTGATGATATGTATAAAGTGATCGGCCACTTTGATTTCCTTGCGGCGCTTCTTTGTGAGTATGCTATTGCAGTGCTCGCTTTGAACTATGTGGTTTACATTCCAGTGTCCGAAGCAAGTGATTTATTGTCAGGATGGCAACCAAGTTTGCAACTTCTGCCACATTTTTTCTTGCGGAACACTCAATCTTCGTATATTGTACTCATAAAACAGATCAGCGGAAATTTCGGAAGCAAATGTTTCCGCATTCAGGTCGAGGGAGAAATAGCTTTGAAATGCACTCTTGATATCGCCGCAAACGCTTCTCCTTGGGAGTAAACTCACAGGACCTTTCTGGGGCAGACTACCTGAGACCGCCTCGTAGCGATAGTTGCATATTATCCTACAGAACATCCGAGCTTCCTTTTAACGGTTCCACGTTGAAGTTGCTTCAAGAAAACACTATAATGACCAAGGACCTGTAACTGAGTTAGTTTTGGCGCGTATCATAAAATCGGGAACTTTGTTCTGTTATCGGCCGGCCCAGTGAGCACCTTCAACCTTCTATCTCTGTAAAGCTCACTTTTTTTTTGTGAAGCCATCATCACCATTGCTCCCTTGTATGGGATTTTACCAGTCAGTAGAAACTGCACTCATCACCAGTAATGTTTGACGACTCTGTCAAGCATTTGTTCTTGGGCTAATCTGACCGAGCGGGTGTTCTTTCAAGTCGTGCGCCATCGCAGCGCCCTCTCCACCCTGCTCACACACACTTTCTCGCTTCAAAGTGACACAAATCTGATTGTTCACCGGATTACCTGTGATGAGGCACGCGCCGATTAGGCTAGGATCGAGACCTTAGGCGATCTTTAACAATGCTGAAGCAATATTGAACTCTAATCATAGTTTTCCAGTCTCTTTGCTCCATCCAGAAACTCTATAACTTGTTGCCAAATTCCATTATCTCCAGCATTTTATTCATGAACGGAAAAAATTTCACACATTGTCGTCTTCTTCAGAGGCCTCCTCCACCGTCGGCACGCAGATCTTGGTGCGGCCGTCCTTCAATGCCACTCAGTACTAAAAATTAAAAATAAAAATTTAAAAATTTCACACATTTATCTAAATCATCATAACATGTATTAGCTTTGCTTAGCATTAGCAGTGTTGAATTTGAATCCACGAGTTTGCCTTTTTCTACGTAGTCTAGTTCCCTCTCCAAATTTTGGCAGAAGCCTACATCAAAATTTCATTGAGGGAGTGGTCTTTGACCGTAGGACTGTACTGCCTTTACTAGGTAAGGTGGCGTTTTGTGCTTTAGAAGAAGTATGATCTCGATTGGATGATGAGTAGGCCGAAAGTGGTTAGTACTTGGAAAGATCGATAGTTCACTTTATGAAGAAGTGTGGTCCTCTCGCTGCAAAGTTGAGATTGTCCAAGTGTTCATCAAGAAAATTTTCCTTGAAGTTTATTTCACATATGAGATGCAGTGCAAATAAGTTCCATATCCTTTTCGTATCGGCCAAACCAATTTTAATGACGCCATCCTAGTTTTCTGCGACTAATTTGGAGAGGACCTAATCAGTTTCTCAAAAGAAACATGTGCCAATCTAAAGAACATCAAACGCTGATTTCAAAAGTATCTTCATTTTTTGCTAAGCACCTTTAGATGCTGAGTTATGAGTGTTTTTGGAGCGAAAAGTGATAGCAAAAGGTGAAATCAGCGATCATGGTCTTTCGAGCGCTCAAATAAAGAAGTTTTGAGTACGAGTAGATGAGACAGAGGATTTTTCATGCAAAGAATGTTCTGATATTCAACGCTGGAACATTTATGCAAAAAAAAAACGCTTATAACTCAGCATGTAGAGGCGCTTGGTAGATAACAAAGGCATATCTGGAATCAGCGTTTGATGTTCTTCAGATTGGTGTATATTCCATGTAGAAAGCCGTTTTCGATTTGGTTCTCTCTTCCCCCCCTACCCCTGTGTATGTAGAATAGAACGAAATTTGACTTTCCTCGTTTTATACGCTTGGAAATAAGCGGAGATCTGTAAACGTGATTGTAACTATGTGCGCCATGCTAGTAGCCGAGCTGGTGACACTTGGATTTTATTGTTATATTCATGAGGCGGTTCAATTGTTGGAAGATTTTGATGATGTTGAAATCACAATGAATGCTTTCTCAAGGGGAAATAATCGAGCTGTGTAGATCGTGACAATATGAATTGACTGTGTCTATGGGAATTACATGCAGGCAGCTTGAGAGCCTGGTATGCGCAGTGAGTCAAGCAGGTAGCAAAGTTTCAAAGATGTCCTCACAGATTGTTCATAGCTGCTTATATTAATCGATGGCATAAGCGAGAATGATGTAAGGAAAATTTTTGTTGCTTATATCGGAATCACGAGTGTAGCCAATTATAACGAGCATTTCAATGGAAGATGAACAATGGAGACCACGAAATTTGAACGTTATCTTTGCTTTGTTTGCTCTAGTTCTACCAGTTATCCATTTCTGGTGGAAGGGTCGTGATCACTACCCTTTTACTAATGAATAGTATAAATGATCTTTTTCATCTTTTGATTTAAACGATATAATTGCTTCATGTGCCACATGAATTGTTCCCCACATAAAAGGTATCCAACAAGCTATTCATGCGATTACGCTAATCCACAAGAACACTGAAAGCTTTTAGCTGTTTTTCCCTGATGACGAGAGGCACATGGTCTTTAGTCCCTGTTATCTTCCTCTTTTCATCACTGTAACTTTTGATAAGGATAGCATGACAGTATATCAAGCTACTCTATGAATGCTTACAGCTTTTATTCATCAATGACGTGACTGCACAGTCTTCAGCCCTGTCACCTTCCCAACTTCTAGTTAGCTCTTGATGATAGCACAGCAACATATTTAAAATGACAATAAAACAATGCAAGGCTGTAAATCATCTATGCTGCAATTTTCAGTCTCTCAGTGAGCCAAACTACGCTTATTAGCCTGCACCTCCTCGTGGGTTGAACTGCTTTGAAGTCATACATATAGGGGCGTACCAGTTGTGTCCATGAAGCATGTCCAGTAAGAATAGGGGATAGAGGCAGGGGGCTCTCTTGAGAATGTGTTAAATCTATATCTGGCTTAACAGTAGGGTTGAGATAGATATCCAGGTCATGAGGTCATCAGGTTTCTCAGGTAGTCGGCTAGCTTGCAATTTAGCTTGTGACTTAGTGACTTGTGTAGTAAGTCCGTCCAGCTCAAGACGGATCATTTCCATGTCTAGACTTCAACAATCTGTTTTGTAGGCAGCAAAAATCATCTGTGTTGAGATTGCGCTGTGTTAAAGCTGAGTTGCATCAGGCAAATGCGTCGCAATGGACGAGAGGTAACAAAAATTTCGTACGGACCACTGTGGTTCCTCTTGATGAAATAGGCACAGATGGTAGGCGCACTGAGATCCTGATTGAGGATCTGCCATCTTTGGCGAAAGACTTTTACTAAAGTTTTTGCGAAATACTCAATTTGCTCACATACCGACTTTTCATCATTCAATGTAAGAGTGACTTAAGCATTATGTAATAACGAGTGTCAATAAAAAAATTAGTTAAAATTGCGAATCGTGACTAGTTATCATTTTGCGTAGGTTAGTGAGCAGAAACAAAGATGAATTTTGTATCAGCGCGTAAGCTGCATTTACATTCATCCACTGGCAAAGAAGGTTATGTAGAGGATTATATGTTGCCGATGGGCTCCAGCGGACAGCTATCATGTGCTCGTAATGTGTAACCCCCCCCCCCCCTCCCCACCCTTCCGCGAACACAATGTCCTTAAACTAAAGCAGTGCAGCAGTAGGGTTACCAGAGAGCAATTTAGGCGCTGTTATCTCCACAGTATGTCTGTTCGAAGGAAGCAACATGAAGGATGTGATGTTATCAGCCGCATGCGTTGTTTATAACATTCTTCTTCAAAGTCTTTGAAGGAACCGTCCAGTCTAATTGAGGATGATGAGATTTCAATGTCATACAATAGAGGGGCGCCTAACTAAGGCATCGCCCAAGTTTCGCTGCAAAAGGTAAATTCCGAAGCGAAAAAACCGCTTCATTAGGTGAAACTCCACTTGGCTCCGCCGATCAGTTGCTGAAGATAACCAAAATCGGGCTGCAATGTATCTAGAGTCTTCATAAATCCGCCCTTACTATGATTATCAGATTTTCGACACT